CGGCCGGGGGAGCCATGGCTACGTTCTTGGGTGCGTAGTTTGCCCTGTGCCTGGCCCTTCCTCCTCTTTGTCCCAGTGGTTTTCTTCCTGCGCCCCATCTGAGGGGTTTTGCCATCAGCTGTACTGAAATCTCCTCCCATCTGCTGGGAAAAGGCATTTCATAGCAGAGGGATGGAGCTCAACAGGGCGGGCTTTGCTGGCGAGAGCTGTGATCCCGGCTCTGTAAGTGCTTACTGGCACAGAGTAACTGCAGTGTGTGGGGCTGACAGGATCTCAGCCTGCCACCAGCTGCAATGCTGGATCTGGCCCTCACTCATGTTGCAGGGGCAGTCCGGTGATGCTCTGTGGCTTACTCCAGGTTTATGGCTTCTCTTTACCCCTTGTCACCCTGTGGCAGACGAGTGATGGCAATCTCCTGTTCTTGCTTTTCCCTGTGGGTTGGCAAAGCTCAATGCCCTCTCCCTCCCTCCCTCTCTCCCTCTCTCCCTCCCTCCCTCTCTTACTCTGAGAGGACATGCTGGATACCACGCAAGTTTGTTTTTGTCATGAGAAAAGCTTTAAAGTTGGCAGTATTTCTGCTAAGAGGGAACAGCCAGTCTGAACCAGGCATAAGGAGTGGCTTATGCTGCCTTTTGTTACTACAGGACAGCAGTTACTGTTGCTTTGTGTTCTTACCTCTTGTTTTCTTTCTCTTGCATTGCTGGGGTCTTGCAGGAGATCACGTTGAAGCCAAAGTCCTGGGGAATGCTCCATATGGGATTTACAAGTATAAATTCCCCAGGGCCATCAGGACTGAGGATAATGTGGGAGCTAAAGTATTCTTCTTCAAAGCCTTCCTCCAAAGCAGTGACTTGTCCCCAGCAGAGCCGAAGGAGGATCACCTGTGGGTCACAAAGGATGAGCTGGGAGATTACTTGAAGCCAGAATATCTGAAGAAAGTCAATCGATTCCTTCTGGACTTGTAAGGGATGGGCTGTGCTCCAGCAGATGGGGAAGATGTGGGATGTGACTCCAGGGAGGAGCACAGCTGCTGCTTTGCATGGTCGGTGTGTATGAGATGTTAACGTGGGCTCTGGAGGATAATTTGCTTTTGCCTTATTTCCCAGTTCTATCCACTAGGCCTGTACTGAATAAATATTAAAACTTCTACTCGGAAGTGAAGTTCTCCTGAGGGAATTCTGTGCTCTTGTTGAATCCTCCTCCTCCACCTCTGCTGGAAATGCATGTTGTGATCTTCTCCTCTCCCAGGCATGTGATTCCCCGGGGCTGTGGTGCCCGGGGGGCTTGCTTTCCTCACCAGGCTCCTGTCATAGTGGCAGGCTCAAATGGTTTCTTTTATACAGAGCTAATGCTTGTCTCTGGTACCTGCTCTTTAATAAGAGCAGTATTGGGGGTGATCAGTGTGTCCAGGTGGGAATGTACCCTCCTGGCCACAAGGCTGAGAAAGGTGGGTTTATGGGGAGATGGAGGCTGGGGTATTCAAGCTTATTAGTGTTTAATCTGTGGTGAAGCTGCCTCTGGCCTAGAGTCCATGATACATGGTGGCTAAGGAGCACACAGATGCATGAGGAATAGGCAGCATCTCTTTCTTTACATGAGTGCTGCTTTCCCACCTGCACTGCCCTCCTCTCGAGCCTCAAGCTGTAGCAGCAGACACTGAAGGAGGGTAACACTTGAGCAGCAGCTCTCTGGGCTGGGAAGGTAGTTTTTCCTGGCAGGGGGAAGGCTGCTTTAGCATTTACTGCCTCCTGGGAGCAACCTCAAAGGGGGTTTTGGAGAGTTCTTGGCTCCTATGTGTGGTGCATTAGGCCAGCACTGCTAACCCAGCCTCAGGTGGCCTGACACTGTTGCCCTGATTTCTTTATTAGAAGATCTATCCTGGGCTTATATGGTGCTGTCTGTTTCTTGGACGGTTTTTCCTGGTTGTAAATGTTGGTGTTTGGTGGTCAGACTGTGGGCTTAATGCTGGCTGGACCTAGCAGAGAATCAGTGGCAAGGAGGAAGGGAGGAAATAGCCATCGTTAATCACTGGGAGAGAGTTCAACCTCCAGAGGTGGAACTGGAGATTGCTATATGTATTTTATCAATCCTTTGGGAGCTGTTGAGCTGCAGGCCTCAAATTAAAGCTATCCTTAATCACTCCACAAGCCATTGGGGCTGGAGGTAGGACAGCAGCCTTCTGTTTCCTAATGCTGGGCACTTCGGGAGGTGCAGGCTTGGCATAAATTATCAACAAAACAAAACTTGGTTTCTTGAAGCACCCTTCCAGGAGGCTGTGTCTGCAACAGAGAGCACTTGCAGAGAGGAAATAAACATGAAGACATGCCTGAGAAACTGCCCATGTTTTGGCTGCTGTCTGAGGTCAGCACTGCTGAAGTGGATGCTGTTGCTTTCTCCAGCACTGAAAGCCTCTGCAAAGGGGAAAGGTGAGTTTTTGTCCTCAGACTGTGCCTCACCAGCCTGGGGTCCATGGGTGCAGTCAGCCCTGATGAGGCTTTTCTCTGCCTCTCTGTATCAGGCTGTTACTGGCTCTGCAGCACACAGCCCCTGAGTAGAGCTTTGCGGGCACAAGCTTAGGGCATGCCCTTTGCCAAGGTCTCTGCCCTGTTTCCCATGCCAAAGGCAGGTTTTGTGTTGCTGGAACAGAACTTTCAAAGGATATAAAATGCTGTTCAATTGTTCTCAAAACCAGGAACACAGAAGGGAGAAAAGGCTGATACTGAGAGCTTGCTGATCTTCAAACCCAGGCAGTTCCTGCTCCCAGACTTACTCAAGCAATGAGGCTTTGGGCATCGTCTATGCTGAGCGAGGAGTAGCTCCCTTCAGCAGTGGGAAGGTCAGAGTCAACAGCCTCCATGGCCTTTGTTCTTAGCCTGCAGCAGATCTGTGAGAGGCTTGGTTTGGCTGGAAAGCTGCTCATGGGAAAGGACCTGGGGGTGCTGACTGATGGCCACTGAACATGAGCAGCTTGTGCTCAGGCAGCCAAGAAATCCAGTGACATCCTGGTATCAGAAATACCATCCTAATATCAGCAGTAGTGTGTCCAGCAGGGCCAGGGCAGTGATCATCCCCCTGTACTGGGCACTGGTGAGGCTGCACCTTAAATCATCTGTTCAGTTCTGGGCCCCTCACTGCAAGATAGACATTGAGGTGCTGGAGTGTGTACGAAGAAGGGCAACAAATCTGGTGCAGGGCCTGGAGCACAAGTGTGACGAGGAACGGCTGATGGAACTGGGGGTGTTTGGTCTGGAGAAAAGGAGGCTCAGGGGGGACCTCATCGCTCTCTACAACTGCCTGAAAGGAGCTTGTAGTGAGGTGGGGGTCAGTCTCTTCTCCCAAAGAACAAGTGATAGGACAAGAGGTAACAGCCTCAAGCTGTGCCTGGGGAGGTTTAGACTGGATATTAGGAAAAATGTCTTCACTGAAAGGGTTGTCAAGTGTTGGAACAGGCTGCCCAGGGAAGTTGTTGTCAAGGGTTGGAACAGGCTGCCCAGGGAAGTGGTGGAATCACCATCCCTGGAAGTGTTCATAAACCGCGTAGGCGAGGCTCTCAGTGATAAGATTTAGTGGTGGTCTTGGCAGTCCTGGGTAAAGGTTGGACTTGATGATCTTGAAGGTTTTTTCCAACCTAGTTGATTCTATGATTCTTACGGAAGCTGAAATTGTTTTCTCATCACCTAAAACACAAATTCATGCTCTCAGCCTGCATAGGAACAGGCCCTTTTTTAAAAGCCCTTAGCCAGTTCCTGCAAACAATCCTGGATCTTGCAACTCTTGGGTGCTTTTGCTCAGTTCTGTGTGGCCTGCCTCCTCCTCTTTGGCCTGAGAGGGAATGCAGAAGGATGTCATGCAGGTTTCCTAGTGGAAAGGGTGGTTTGTATTGATGGTTTTTACTGAGGCTGTTATTTTCCTTTGAGAACTTGATGGCTTCAGGCCAAACCTCCACCTGTACTCCTTGCAGAAGTCTCATCAGGCTGGCTGGTGGGTTATATTTCGCTGGTAACTGATGAAAGGGTAGCACCTGGTGTTACCTTCCTCTGAGTCTGCATACTGGGGAGGAAGCTGGAGAGCAGTCAGACTGGGGCAAGTTTCTGCTCCTCAAAGCCATTTTCAGCAGAGGATGCTTCTGTTCATGAGGGTGATACACAAAAGCCAGATCCTTTCCCCCTCCAGGGGGAAGGAGGTGTATCAAGATGACCTTTCCCTGGTGTGATGCAGTCCAGCAGCAATTTCTAAAAGCCTCCAGGAGCAGAAACAAATGGAAGGATCTGTTGCAGTCTAAGCCACCAGCATCTAAACCATTGCTTAAGCCACCGCGTTAGAAAAGAGATGAAGGTTTTCTGTGTGACAAATAGATGCTAGCACACCCCTCCAGTGAAAGAGAGAGAACAAGTCCTAACAAAACCACTTTCCAGCTTCACAGATAGAGCTTTCCTCTACCTGCCCTACAAAGTATCTTCGCTAGCTGATACTCCTCCTCGTCTGTGGGAGTTTTGGGGATTGGTGCTCTCTAAGCAGAGCCCTGCTAATGTGTTTTGTGATACACTGTGAACTGTTCAGAACTGCATGCTTTCTCACCTAATAGGGAGCTGCTGTTTGCTGCTCCTCCTGGCTGGCTCCAGGCAGCCAAAGGCTTCAACATTGGGAAGATAAATACATGCAGAGCCAGAGAGGCCATTGGAGCCACGGGCTACGCTGCTTCCTGCTCTCTGGAAACCTGGAGGAGGAGAAATGCTTTTGCTCTCAAATACAGCCCTGAGCTTGTTAGAGCAGAGAGTGCTGTTCTGGTGCAGGGAGCACCCTGTGGTGTCCCTCCATCCCTGGGCTGGATCAGGGAGGGAAGGAGTTTGGCTGCCTGTGGGCTCATTCCCTGTCCTGGAGGATAAGGTGTCTTCGGCAGCATCAGTCACTTTGCTTTTGTTCTGTTCATGTTCCTGTGCTTGTGTAGGAAGGGATCTGTCTCTTTGGAGGAAGTTTTTTGGGTAGTGCCTGGGCTTTCTTGCAGTTGCTGCTTGTTCCTGCTGTGCTCAGCTGCCTGCAGGGGATGCAGCGTGGGGAGCTCTGCCTGTGGCACCACAGAGACCCACAGAAAATGGTGTGGTTGAGGTCACCAGGGATTGGAGTGGATCAAGTCCCTTACTTTTGTTCTGAGGACATCTTTTTCCTCCCTTTTGTGAAATCACCCCTGTGTTTTGACATAACCAGCGTGTTGGAAGGACACAGGACAGGCAGAAGCCAACACTTGAATCTCTGCAAAGGTAAGAATGGATATAAAAGAAGGGGTGCTACTGAGAAACTTGAGTTCAGGGTAAATCTGCTCCAGAAGCTTTGCTGATCATACCTGATCCTTAACACCACGCCCTCAAAAAGCAAAGCCAGGAATTTGTGAGCTGAGTACAAAGTGCTGACAGCAGGAAACCCCTTCAGGTAATTCCAGCCACTGCTTTACTGTCGAGGCTGCTTTTCACAGACGGATCTTTGGGGGTGGTGGTGTGTCTGTATAAAATCCTTTGGCAGGACTTCATAGGCAATGCTGGGAGACCCAGGGGCATTCCTCATTCGAAATATGAAGGATTATTCAGAAACATTAAAATGAAGCTTCTTCAAAACCCAGGCAAGGCAATAAAGCCTTTATGCAGTGTACACAAGGCTTTAAGACTTGCCATCACAGCTTATTCCAGAAACAGGACGGTGTGCTGGCAGGAGCTGGCCCTTTCCCTGGCTACCACAAACATCCAATCTTGCAACAAACCAAAAGTTTAGTGAAAGATTTTACAGCTATCAATGTGCAGCTTAAGCTGATCTCTGCTGGAGATGGAGGTGAGAGCTGGCGTCTGAGCCTGATCGTCTTGTGCCTAAGGGCTGCTGTCCCTCTCAAGCATCGGGGCAGAGGGAAGCTGGGGATGTCAGGGAGCAAGGCATGGACCGGTGCTGCTGCTGGGAAGAGCGATGTCAGGGGTGAGTG